TGCTGATGCCTAACTGCACTGACGCAGCGGTGAGATACCGGGGAAAGAGCAGTTGTGGGTTTTCATAAATGTCTGTTACTGTATTGAGGAAGTGCCCTTTTATCTGAGTGTTTTTTATCTTGAATGGGTGTTGGGTTTTGTCACATTCTTTTCCTGCATCAACTGAGATGATCATGTCTTTTCATTTTATTAATGTGTGTATTATATCAACTTTCCTTTTTTAGGAACTAGAAAATATATTTTTGTCATTAAGTCTTAAATGAATTTAATTTTCTCTTTCACACAATTTTTTAAAAAATCGTTTTTTTCTTTTTTTTAAGTTTTATTAAGAAATAATTGACATACAGAATCGTATAAAGTATACCATATACAGTATACAGACTTGGCTTACATATATTGTGAAATATTACCACAGTATACTTAGTTAATATCCATGATCTCATGTAGTTGCAAAAAAAAAAGGGGGTCCCACTAGAAGGAAGTACAAGACTGGATTCCTCTGATGAAGTAGAATTCCAGAGAAATTTGAAGCTGGTCATTAGAAGAAGTGGGAGTAGGATCACTAGGAAGAAGTTTCACTCTTACTTTGCTTCTCTTTTAGGTTTAGCAGCAGTAGTAACAGAGTTGACTTCAGTAGGATCTATCTAGACCATTTTCCCATTAAATCTTATAGGTATCACATGTGGTTTATGAGGAGATTATGATAAAACTGGATGTTTGTATGTATGTGTATAGGATGAGATACTTGTATATGTGTGTTTTGTCATTCAGATAATTCATTTCCAGTAATCTTGTTGCCAGTTCAGTTGCCACTCAGCCCTTATGGTCTTTTTATTCCCTTTCTGTAAATAATGTGCATAGCATTTCTTTTTCCATTTCAGCCAACACTTATTGATTGCCCACTCTGCATTGTTAGGCTCCCTTAGTTTGAAATCAAATAATACATATCCCTGTCCTCAGGGTAAATCAGGGGTGACCTATTTACTTATCAACTCTTAAATGCTGTATAACAAGTAACTCCAGTAGAGGTATACCCAGGATGCTCTGGAGAGTTGAGGAAGCATTTCAATCAGACTGGGAGAACAAGGAAGGCTTCTTTAGGTAGTGAATCTGGAGCTGAATTTTGCAGGGTCAGTAAAGTAACTCATGAGGTTGCTCACTAAATGGATGTTGAGAGTGAATTAGAATTAGGTGATGCTTGGAGAAGGACATTTGCAGCAAAAGTACAAAGGTAGAAAGACATGAAAAATATGTGGCACATTCAGGGGTTCCTGCCTTTGTATATGAATTAAGTAAAGGGTCTACTGGTAGGAGTGGGAGGAGCTGAAATGTAGGTATCCATCTGTCTTTACCCTTCTGGACGAAATCTCAGTTTACCCTGCTTTTCCCTTTCACTGCAGTTTATCCTTCCCTGGAGTCTGACGATGATGACCCTGCTTTGAAATCTCGACCCAAGAAAAAGAAAAATTCAGATGATGCTCCATGGAGTCCTAAAGGTGATCCAGTATTCTGTCCTTAAACTCTGTAGGTATGGTTTGGGGAAAATAGGCTGGGGGTAGTTGGGGTATTTAACATAAGGAGACATGATTCAGTCATTCATTTGTTTATTCAGTAAACATTTGTTGATTACCACCTGTGTGCCAGGTACCGTGTTAGGGGCTGGAGTAAAAATGATCGATAAGACACATTTCATGCACTCAGCTCAGCATAGCCAGAGGTAACGAACCATGTTGCTTCTGATATTATATGGCTTGAAGTGAAAAGAATACCTTGAGGGACACCTGGGTGGCTCAGTTGGTTAAGCATTCAACTTTGACTTTGGCACAGGTCACAATCTCGAGGTTTGTGAGTTCCAGACCCACATAGGGTTCTGTGCTGACAGTGCAGAGCCTGCTTGGGATTCTCTCTCTCTCCCTCTCTCTGCCCTTCCCCCACTCATGCTCTTGTGCACACTTTCTCTTTCATTATAAATAAATAAACTTCCAAAAAAAGATCTTGAGCGTATTCCAACAAGCAGTCTCAGACTTCTGAGAACATTCTGCTACTGTCATCCCAGACCTTTGGTAATAAGTAATGTTATCAAATGAAGGAAATTCTGCTGACTGCCTAACTCCACAAGGCCCAAGACTCCTTAGACTGTCACCTATACTGGCTGAGAGGCCAGCTCTGAGGAAGGAAAAAAGAATGGTCATTGAGTTGAACATGGAATTTAGAGGGTAATTTTATTCATCTCATTGGTTCGGTGGTTTTCACAGTGGAGGTTGTGTCAGTTAACTTTTGCTGCTTATTAAACTACCCAAAACTTAGCGGCTCAGAACAATAATGGCTGATCATTTCTCATGATTCTGTAGGTTCGCTAAGCTATTGTCCTAGTCTGGACTGGCTTGGCTGGGGCTGGATGGTCTAAAAAGATCTTCCTCAGGGGTCTTGACCTAATTTGGGGTGGCTAGGGCCTCTCTCCATGTGGTCTCTCCTGGTCTACCAGGAAGCCAGCCTGAGCTTTTTCACAGGATAGCAGAAGCATGTCCAGTAGTAAGAGAAGGAAAGCCCCAGCTTACCAGCACTTTTCAAGCCTCAGCCTGTGTCATGTTTTCAATTGTCCCACTGGCCAAAGCAAGTTACATAGTCAAGCCTCAATTCCAGGGTTGGAGAAATACATTACATCTCAAGAGAGAGGAGAGAGAGAGAGAGACAGCTGCAGAATCCTATGCTACAGGGAGATGAGAGCAAATTGAAAGCCATTACTGCAGCAGTCTTTCACAGAGGGTGCTGGCATCTCAGTTACCCATGGTTCCCCAGGAAATAAAGATCCTGTTGGCCCCACCCATCCTTATTTGGCCTTTCTGCTGTTGGCTTGGGGTTGGGGGACAAGGGTGGCAGAGTAATCCTAGGAAGTGTTCTCTTAGTGAGCCAGTCAGCAAATGTTACTTTTTTTTTCTTTTTTAAGTCCTATTTTCTGATTGTATTTTTTCATATAGTTTCTGGCTGATTAGCAAAATAGAAAAGTGGGAAAATACGGAAAATAGAGGAAAGTGTAAAGAAGAAACCACCCATGATCCAGTTACCCGGAAGCAACCACTGTGTTAGTGTTTTGACACGTTTCTTTCAAGTCTGTTTTTCCTATGTATTTCTTTTTATGGTTAAAATTACACTGTGTAGAGACAAGCCTATATCCTGCTTTAAGCTTTTTTTTTTGCCTTTTAATCAAATTAATGTGTATATTTGGTAGCAAATAGTACAGAGGAGTTTAGGATGAAATGCAGTAGTCTTTGCCCCTGCTTTCCCCACTTCCAATCCTGTGCCTGAGAAGCAACCTCATAGTTTTTTTTTCTGGTTGTTACTTCCAAAATTCAAGATAATAGGGTTTATTTATACCACCATTTCTTGATGTACCAACTTAGTCTCTATTTCTCTGTCTCTCAGCTTCTGTCAGTCTGTCTTGATTATCCACTTTCTAAAATACAGACATTAGTACTCCTTCCTGCTTCCCACTTCTCATGAACTACACATTTTTGTTTACATTGTCAAGGTTGTTAGCATTTACAT